TCCTGCCTCACAATTCCAGAGTGCTGGGATCACAGGCATGTGCCCCATACCCAGCTAAGAGCATTTGATATATCACCTTTCACAGTGAGAAACTTAGCAAGGGGTTATTGTGAACTGAGTACAAGGTTATGAATTTATGAGTTGTGAGCCCTGGCCAGTTGGATTGTAATGATGGATATCCTGATGACATTGAAGCCAAGAACATCTTTTCTCTTTATTCCATTTCAGACCCATCTACACATTTCCACAGATAATAGGACTCGTATTATGGGGGCTTCTCTTTTACTTGGGAAAGGACAAGGCCTGTAGTAGTTCACAAGCTTCTCAATTTTTAGTTGGCATTTATTCAATGTTGCTGTCATTATTTATGGGGTTGACCTCATGGAACTTTGAGACTCTTAAAGAACCGGGGTGAATTCATATAGCTTAGGAATCCTGAGAAGTTTACACTAACAATGAGGCTTTGAAAGAAATAACCTATATTGGACCAGGTGTCTGAGTGAGACATCCACAAGTGCATCTGAGCTAAAGAACTAGATGAGAGGGCTAGGGATTTAGCTCAGCAGTTCTGCTGCCTGCTTTGCAAGCACAAGGACCAGAGTACAAAAAAAAAGAAAAAAAAGAACTAGATGAGGAAGAAAACAATATTAGGTTCCTCCTGTGGCCTTTCAGTTTCTTTGGAAAAACAGTGTACTTTTTACATTGCTGGGCTTTCTCTGTTCTGGGTGCTTATGATGTATTGGGGATGCCTTTCAGGTTACATAATGGGGAAGCCCCCAGTTGGGTAGCATGGCTGTGCATACAACAAGGTGAGTATAGAGTGAGAGGCCAACCTCTGAGTGTGACTCTGAGCTGTGGTCAGTGTCCTGTTGACCAATTTCAGACATTGGTAGCAGCTGTTGACTTGTCACATTAGCCCCAGGTCAGTATTTATGGTTAGCAATTTAAACATTTTTGTAACTGGCTGTGTTGGTGGTAGTGAGGGTACATTTCTCATGCTTTGAGCTAGTTCTCCAAGGGCATTGCCACTCATTTAGTCTTAGTTTAATAGAACTAAAAGTAGAGAAATGTAGAGTGGAGGAAATCAGGATTCTCTTATTCTTTTAACTTTTCCATGAGGGCAGTTTGTTGTTCTGATGGGTTAGTCTACATTAGAGCCACGGAACAACACGGTGCCCAGATTTCCAACAACTTTTGTAAATTTGAGGAATCCTGTCTTCATATTTTATCCTCTCATCTGAAGAGAAATTCTCAGTTTTCTTGGTCCTTGGAGAATCATTTGGCTCCACGATCCAGCATTGATTTCCTGAGCTGAAAATGTAACACTTTGGAGAGTAAAAGGGGTGATTTTATTTGTAAAGCCATTAAAAACCAAGTGCTTTTTGTGTTACCTACTCTCTGGTTGCTTTAGGAAAGCAGTTGCCTTAAATTCATTGAGATCCTCGGTTGTGAATTAAGTTTTATTGCCATTCAGTTATTCATATCATTGGCCTTCTTTATGCAGCGAGAGTTCCTTCAAAGACCTAGGGAGGGAAACACTCACATTTCATACTGAACCATTTTATCTGAAATATTTCTGAGTCCATACCTTGAGTTACATTTTTGTATGTTTTTCCATGATAACTGGAATTCTCTATAAGGTCAAATCAACACACTTTTGTTTCTGATGGAAAGTTCAGCCTGTAGGGGGTACTAACACTCATCTCCGTACATTAAGCTCTCCAGGTAAAACGGTTTCTGAGAATTTAATTTTTCCAATATTTGTCTTGTCAAATCTGGCCACAAGAAGACCAGACTACACATTTCAGTTGAAACTATGAGTTCCTCCCTCCCTCCCTTCCTTCCTCCTTTTTCCCTTCCCTTCCTTCCGCCTTTCCTTCCTCTTTCCTTCCTTCCCTCCCTGCCTCTTTCTTTTCTTCCCTTTGAAATGTATGCTTTTGCGGGAGCTACTCCAGTATATTGTGAGAGCATGGCATTGGGACCAGAATTCTTGAATTCATGTAGCCTTGACACCTATAGCTTTGGATAAATTGCATAACTACTCTGAGTCTTTCTCTCTTCTTGTTCACTGAGTTGTATAAGGATAAATGTGTATTATATGGGAAACTTGTAGAACAGGGACTGGAACCAGTTAAGTCTTCAAATACGAGCATTGTTATTGCACATTATCTCATTCAGTGGTTTTTCAGCAACAAGATTGTTACAATATTAAGTTTTGGTGGTAGAAATCCACTTAGGTTGTCATATCTGAGTTTCTTTTTCAATATTAATTTTCTGAATGTGCAAATAAAAAGATAATTGCATTCCTCAGAATGTAACTTAATTTTCCTGGCAGCAGATATATATATGAATACTGAAGCTAAAATATGTAACCTTAAATTTTAGAATTTTTCTGACTTTTATAAAATATTCTTTGAAGTACTTTGGTTTATTAAATGGATGTATTTGAGAACAATGTTAAATGAAATAGATCAGACACAATAACTTAAATGCTGCGTGGTTTTTCTTATATGAGAAACCCAATTTATAAAGAAAGCAAAATAAAAGGTAGCTCAGAGATGAAAGAGGAGGGAAGGGAAGGGGATTAAAAAGAATTAAGATGTGTTATATACATGTGCAAACTCCCCACAAGGAATGTAAGCATTATGTACTGCAAACGTGCACACACACACAAAACAAACACAAAACAAACACGAACAATTCCGTTTTCTTCTTATCATTTCCCCTTTGGAGATGCAGTGTCATATTTGCCAGTTCCGAGAACTCCACCTCTGCACTCCCCACTGTGTCAACCACACAAGTGCCCCTCCACCTCCAGCACAGAAATTGTAACTGGGCAAAAACTGAGCCAGACAGGCCAGAGGCATTGGCAGCAACGTTGGATGGCTGTTCTTTGTCACTTCCTCTCCACTGCCCTCGACTATCCCAAAGACATTCTCATCTCTTTAAAAAAATAGTGGGGTGATTAAAAACAGGAAGTTGGTTTCCTGATAAATATTATTCCTGCATGTCAGTCCTTTACTTACTTATTGGAAGTTGCTTCACCATGGTAACTCTTCCTGCAGTAAGCTAGTCTCCTTCCACAGACAAAGCTTTACTTACATGGGATCTTGTGCCTTCTGCAGAAACACGGGAGGGAGGCTTTTCCAACTCTGACATTGCTCTCTGGGTGTGCAGAGCCGGGAGTCTTCCCTTCCTCCTGCTGTTCGTAGGGCACCTGGATGGGCAATGGACTCATGAAAAAGGAGTGCGTTGGTTGTTGAATCTTTGTCTGGGGGTTTGCTTAGTTTTCTTCTGGATTCACTGATTCCTCTGTGCAAAACATGTTTATCAAGCTTGGTTCTGCTTAATAATGAAAACCAAAAGGAACTCATTTAAATGATATTGGAGAAAAATGCAGGGAATCGCTAGGTTTCCCAGGCTGGGCTGGAACTTGTGATTCTCCTGTTTCAGCCTCCTAAGCTTCTAGGATTATAGGCATGTGCTGCTACACTTAATTTAACTACAATTTTGAAATGTAAGAAATAAAAGCCGGAGGGCCGTCTCCAGCAACAAAAACGGGTGTTAGAGGCAAAGTGTTTAAGTTTATATATCTTGAGGCCACAGTGAGCAATTGACCTATAGCATCTGGGATTGTGTAAATAGGATTTCTGTTTGTACAATGTTGGAATCATCTAACAATGCATCTGTCAGAATGTATCTCCGACACTGATGTACAGCCGTACATGAACCAGAGACTGAAAAATAAAAAAAACTAAAGACCCTGTATTATCTGTTCTATTCCCTTTCACCTGTCTGCTCAACTAGTCATCAATGATTTATCAGTTTCTTTTCCTAACAACTGCCTCTGCCAGCTCTCACGGTTTGAAGTTTGGAGTGAAGCGTACCCCACCAACAGTGTTTAGTTGACAAAGGGTTCAGCTTGAAAAAAGAGCTGTCATCAGGCGTGAGCTAGGGTAAAGGCAGCTGGAAAAATAAGAATCAAGTAACTTAACAAGTATTACTCCATTTAAAGACGTATAAGTCACCTCTGTGGATTTCACTTACTTTTGTCTAATAATTTTCTTGTAACACTCAAAATAGTCAGAGACAATGTTTGCTACAGTTTAGGTCTAACAACACACTATTAGTGGTCTAAACAATTTGATGTCAGTTATGGGGGATGGAAAAGGCATGGTCTTGGAAAGTTTTGAAAGATAGCTTTCAAAAAAAAAAAAAGAGGGAGTGAATTATGATAAACCAGAGGATAGGTATTAGCCCTGTTCTTACCATGTCAATTCTGTCGAGTCCTTTTTATGTACAGTATTATCCCAAGATCCATTCCCCTCATGCCCCCCACACACCTATACTCTTCTAGGAATTTTGAGGGAACCCAGAGGAAGTTAGGCTAATATGCCTACAGGTAAACAAACTATAAAACATGGATAATGAGCCATGTTGGTGGATGCCTGTGATCTCAGCACTCTACAAGGCTGAGGCAGTAGGACTGGGAGTTGAAAAACAACCCAGGCAATTTAGCAAGACCCTATCTCAAAAGAAAAAAAAAGGCTGATGATGTAGACAATTGGGACGACCCTGGATTCAATCCCCAGTACCCTCTCCAAAGAGAATATATATTCAAAAATCTATTTGTTGATATATTTTGAAAACAGGGAAGTCAAAGTAAATGAGGTGCAATGTATAAATTTGGAAAGATATTAAGATCTCTTCAAAGAAGGAATGTTCAGGAGAGCAAAGGGTAGTAAAACATTGAGTAAGTCATGGTATTTTCAATATTAGGGGTATTTTTGTTGGTTGTTTTAACTCTTAGCAGATTTAACGCAAGAGCCTGTTGATTGTGGAGGAGCTGGTCCCCTCCTCCTGGCTTATTTCAGCCCCTGCGTAGGTATATTTTTGTTATAATTTATTCCACCTGTGTCTGTCACTCCTTCCCCCTTTCCTCCTCCTGTGACATTTTGGCTCATGTTTCTTCAAAAGCTCTAAGCCAGTTATTAATAACAGCTCAGTGATTTCCTCAGCCACAAGGAACATATGGTGTTTTTCACAAGACAGAGCTCATTCCCTTGACTTTGGACTTCACTTACAGAACCCTTGAAGTAAGTATTGCTTTTTTTTTTTTTTTTAAACTGTAGCATTTTAAAATGTTGATGTAGGAAGAAAGTTTAATACGTCTCTTGTCTGCTTCTGGTAGAAGGAGACTATTATAGGGTAAAACTAAAACTCACAAAGCCTCTATTTCCTACATTTCAACATCTCCCCAAGATTTGTAAAGCTCATTAGAAGAGATTAATGAATTAGAATCTTACTCTTTCATTTCCTTTTTGGCTAAATAAAGGCAGGAAGAGAAGCAAGGGATTCATAACACTGTATATAAATTGCTTGACCAAGCCTTGTGGCTGTAGTTTGATACTCTCATCTCCATGTGTTTCCTCTCCAGAGAGAATTCCAGTGATTCAGAATGAATTTTCACATATGGTGAATCTAAGCAGGGGGAGGTAGTAGACACAGCCGTGTACACTTGTTATTTTTCCACATTCCAGGTTGGGGTCAGAGAAAGCGCGGTCTTGTGGCATTGGTCCATTATGTCCTTGTTTCTTAGCCAAAGGCTTTGTCATTGCAGCCTTCATTATGATTGCTTCTACGAGTCCTGCAAAGTAGGTCACTGTGTTTTCTGTCTGAAAAAGGTGGACCCTGAAGTCCAGAGAGGCAGATGCTCTGCTTGGTCCTCAGGAACAGAGCTGATACATGATAATCCAATCCTCCAGGACATGCCCTGTTTCCCTGAAAGTAAGTCCTACCTGGAAAACAGTCAGCTTCGAAAACTACAGGTCAGAAATGCCAGCCTCAATCAACTTATCCTTGCCTTACCTGCCTTACAGAGTAGCCACCCAGCCAGAAAACCATCATGGCAGGTAAGGCAAGGAGAGGCTGGTTATTTTCCAGTTAGGTCTTCTTTTCGGGGAAATATGATGAATATAGCTTTCAGTTTTGGTTATATATGTTTAATTCCTGAATATGTCAAGGTGTCAAGATAAACAGCATAAGGGAAGCATTACAGTGAATTAGAAAGAGGCAGATGTGGGCCTGGAATGGAGTCCTCGTTTTTTCGACTTACAACTTATGTGACTTTCGCAGTGCCCAGCCACTTTCAGCCTCAGTTTCTTCATTCATGAAATAAGAATCATTACCTGTTTATAAGGCTGCAGGGTTTACTCCTAATGTATATAAATGGCCTACCATAGTGACAGTTATTTTGACATTATTTATATAATCCCTCATTCAAATTTTTCTCAAATCTTCATATTCATCTCTCTCATTTGTTTCAAATTCCAATCCAGAGCTTCCAATTGTGAACTCAGATGGCAACATTACTCTGAAGTACAGAAACAACACTGAGATTTTACTGTTTTTAGTTAGAATCTTCATTTTTAGGATGGGGCTAGCGATGCAAATGCTGGGAATGGTGGACTGGAAGATGGTATATTGTTAACAATGCAGGACGTTAAAGCTGGAGCTAAGATCAGTGAGGGAGAAGCACCAACAACAATTTCCACACAGTAAGCTATTACTTGCAAAACTTTGCCTGCTGTATTATAATGAGCATCCTAAAATTTTTATTTTGATTATGTACAACTATAATTCCAGAGAACTGATTAGATTACCTTCTATGTGTCTGGGTAGGCTAGAAAGGACGGTTGTCCCAGTGTGAGTCTGTGACTTAGGAGATAGGATGAGATTATATTTCCTCTACAAGCTTGCATTCTGAAAAGTTGTATTGAATTTCTAGTAGGGTACAAATTACAGTACTAGGGTAGTAAGGGGCCTGTACACTTCATACGACTTGAAGGATGACCCTTGGATGGCACTGCTGTGTTGCGCTACCTCAGGGCCCCTGGCATTTCACCTCGCCTTGTAAGAGTTTACTACGGTGTGGTTCATTGTGGAGGAAAGAGGTGTTGGGAAACTTGACAGGGAGAAGACTGAAGATGGTTTGATTTGGGGGGGATCTAGAATATTTAATGCCAGCACCCATTCCTAACTGCATAATTTACACATTTTAGGAGCAGTGCACAAACTATTTGGGTGTAGAGCTGTGGCAACTGGAAAATCTCAGCCTTCTGGAGTCCTGGTAGTAGATGATTAAGAGGATGCTTTTGTTCGTGCATAGAAAAAGAGTTTGTTTTATGGCCAGGATATGAACTGAAAGCATTTGAAGCATAGCCATTGGTGGCTTGGGATAGCCAAAACTGGACAAATATTGAGCTGAAAAATGGATAAGCAGTACAGCGAAAGAGATGAGGTACTGGGACTCCTGATAGGTCTGGAACACTGCTATCACACTGGAGCCTGTTGGTGATCAGGAGCGCTCATGAAAGCTACCAGGAAACCCAGTGTTCTACTGTTCCTGTTCTACATATCTACCTCAAATTTCCACAGCTTCTTTCTGATTCTGCTGCTTTGCCTACTCACTCTTTATGGAAGGTCAGGCAGCACGCTGGGCTCTTTGCTTACACTCTTACCAATCCCATGATACTCCAAAGGCTAAGGCTGTGGGCTTTGGAGCCAGACAGATCTCTGTCCAAATCCCCAGTCATCTCCTGCTAAGTATGTGACCTCAGACAGATTACTTAACCTTTCTGGGTTTGGGTCTCTCTGACGAAGGAAACAGTGGTTTCAATATTCCACCTCATGTTGTTTTATAAGTGTGGGGGGGGCACTTAACTGTTATGAATCAAATCCTTTCAGACCCTTTGCAAGGATATTATCTCTGCTCTTCAGAAAAAGTAGCATTTGAGGTTAAGTACCTTTTTCAAGTCTACAGAGCTAACAATGCCAGAGCCAGGATCTAAAACCAGTTCCAGCCGGCTCCCAATCCTGCACTCCCTCCTCACTCTGCCTTGCTGACTGACCATCTGTGACAAAACACTTTTTTCTTTTCAGGCAAAGTTTACTTGCTCAAGTTCTTTGTTTATGACCCTTCCTCACACAAATTTCTGGTTGTCACTTGTGATTTATTTTATTATTGACTTTCTGGTCATACATTGGCCTGAGTCAGATGCTGGGAGATGGTGAAAGTAGAGTTCTTCCAAATAGCCAGGTCTGAGGAAAGAGTCCAATTTGTCATAAATATCAAGAAATTGCTAAGGCAATTATGAAGCTAGCTGTAGAAAAGGACAACCATACAATCTCAGACAAAAATCTCTGTATTTCTGTTACATGAGAAGTTTATGAAAGATCAAATATTGTTTCTGGTGCCAAAATTTTTTGAGTACTTCAAGCCTTTTGACTATTATTGTTTTTCTTAGCTGGAAAGAACAAAAATGCCTTGAGTTCATGTCTTAGTCAAGAAACAAGGTACAACAAGGTTCAGGGCTACAGTAATTGAAAAGCCATATTCTCATGTGAGCTTTCTCTCCTATAAGTCTTGAGTTGCTGATATAAGTCTTGAGTTGCTGATAAGTAAATTTCTCAGATATGTGTTCAATCCTCTTTCTGATATAATTCAGCTTTGGACAGAACTTAGTGGGACCTCGATTAGTTCAGAAAATGAAACTTGAACTCAAATATCAGAAATGTGGATGCATAAAAATACTTTTACCATTGAATATCCTCAGATTTTCCATTAACTCTTAAATCACTCATATTGGAGGAGTTTAACAAGGGTAAATGTCTGTTATGCCTTAAAAACAGTAACCATCCCAACAAGACACTCTTGTCTTCAAGATGTGTAAGTCTCGTGCCAAAATTCTTTGCCTTCCAACTGCTTGACCATTCCCTAATTACAAACAAATAACAAAGGCAAAAACATTGATATAATTTTCATATGATTTCTCAAGTTTTGAAAAGACAATTCTATTGAACATACCTTTATGGGAAAAGGAAACATGTTCCAAAGTGAGACAAGTTGAAAACACTCAACTTTGGGCTTTTATGTTTAAAATTATTTTCTGGGAAAAGAAGTCTGTGAGTATTGTCTTTCTTCTTGCAATGGTCATTTGAATAGGAACTGTCAGTCTTCCAAGAAAGCATTTACCTTAAGTGGAGTTATTAAGTCAGTAGTTGTTGAGAACTAATTAGTGGTGGACGCTGTGAAATCCCAGAGTACAGAATGGATTAGGCCACCTTCACCTTTGAGGAAGATAGCGCCTCCATGGGCTGGTGGATAAAAACAGCCTTGAACCAGGGCGTAGCCTGGCAAGATGTTACTGACAAGTGGGAAATAAACTCTGCCTGAAGAGGTCACAGGATATCACAGAGGAGGTAACACTGATTCTCAAAAGATGTATACAAGTCTGACACTTGTGTGTGTTTAGGTGGTTAAGGAGCCTGAGGATGATACATGTAAAAGGTATAGTCTAGTAGGTAACATGCTAGACTGCAAATAGTAATAATTACCAATGCTTATCATTTATTTCCTAAGTACAAGTGTTATTTAATTCTCAAACTATACTTTGAAGTAGGAATTATTATCACCCACACTTAGTTCATAGAAGTGTTAACTGAGGCACAAAGAGTTGTACGAATAACCTAAAGGCTCACTGTGAGGTACAACTTTCTAGGTTCAAGATGGCCAATGGTGAGAAACAAAGCAGTATGCAAGTATAAATTAGAGGCCAGGTACATTGGAATACACTTGCAATCCCAGCCACTCAGGAGGCTGAAGCAAGAAGATTCCGAATTTAAGGCCAGCCTGGGAAACTTAGTGAGACTCTATGTTCAAAAAATAAAAGGGCTGTTTATATAGCTCAGTGTTAAAGCACCCTTTGAATCAATCTCAAATACCACTAGATAGATAGGTGGGTAGGTAGATAATAACAAGTAGATAATTGAAAAGTGTTTCCCTCACTGCTAGACAATGAGCTTGTACTTATGGTCTATAGGATGCATCATGGACAAAAGGCAAATTTTTCTGATGGGTACAAATTAACAACTGACTCTTGTAAAGCTTTCTGGAAAGGTTAGGGTTGTCACATAGGTAATGGTGAGACCATCCATCGTGTTTAATAAGAAGTTGACATTTACAGAAAGGAGGCAGGGCTAAAGAAAGAAAATGGCTATATAATTATGTGGGTATTTCCATTGCAGTGTAGTCAATTTCCATACTAATATAGGCCCTCTCAAAAGTAACCTCTCATTTGAAAACATGAATAGATCAGTGTAGCTGGAGGAGAGTGACAGCTAGAGGCTGGAGTTTCCTAGGTTAATATTGGCATTTGAGCTCAGAATACTGATACTCCATGTCTCTTACCTCCAAATAGTACAGAATCAGGGCTGGGCACATAGTAGATCCCTCAATAACTGGTAGTTATCATGGTTTACTTAGTAATCTGTTAAGCAAAAATGAATAGATTTCAGTTGGGCGTGTTGGTCATGTCTGAAATCCCAGCAATCTCTGGGAGGCTGAGCAAAAAAAAAAAAGAAGGAAAGAAGAAAGAGATAGAGAGAAAGAAAGAGAGGGAGAGGGAGAGGGAGAAAGGCTGTCTCACTTTTCAACATGTAACTCTCTGGGGAACTTCTGTGAATATCACCTTAACTGTTAGAAATTGATGAAGATGAATAAGATTAGAAAATTCCTGTCAAAAAAGAAAATATTTTTGAAATGTGACCTCGATGTTTAAGACTATAAACTTAAATCCAATGAAAAGTATTTTTGATTGCAGAAGAGACTTTAAGACTATGTTCTTTTATTTGTCTTGACCAAAGATCCACATCCAATAAAGAGAAATGAAAAGGCAAGGGTTGGAAAAAATTGAGAAAAGAGTGAACTAGTAGTATTTTTATTTAATAAAGTTTTTTTGTTGTCATTATTTCTTTAATTTTCCCTAGAGACAAAGCTATTTAGAAAATGCTCTGGTTTTTGTGGCCCTGGGATTCAAGATTGATTTGCAAGAATTTTATAGATAGAAGATAGATAGATAGATAGATGAAGACAAAGGATTTAAAGGCAAGGGCTTGCAAGCTGGTGGCAGAGTGAAGAACAAAAAATGCAATGAAGTCCAGCTCTTAGAAATCAAGAATTATTACTACTCTCTCCATCTGTCAAAAAATAATCAAATGACTTCTATTGTCCTCTAGGAAGACGGAAAAGAGAGCAAAAGCATTCAAGTGGGAAGGGAAGTTCTTTGTGATCATCTAAAGTTTCAATAGAAAAGGTACTTGGTCCCAAATAATCTAAGATGTCATATCAGAAATTGAAGGTCATGTCATTTTAGCTATGATTTTAAAAATACTATGTCCAAGATAAGACCTCATTTTAGCTATGATTTAAAAAATAAGACCAAAGTCTTGAGATAGTCACATCGAATTTGTGCTACTGTTGTTTTAAAAGTGTTCTAACTTGTTTGAAATATATGTATATTTTTGGTGCATTTAAACTTTTAAAATTTTTATTAAATTTTATTTTTTTATTTTATAGGTTTGTAGTACATAATGATTACATTCATTGTGGCAAGTTGGTATATAATGTGTTTTAATTCTTTTATTTTCCTCTCCCTTCTCTTAGATAAAAAACACTAGGAAATGTTTTCTTCTGAAAATTGCTGTTATTAAATAACTTCCTGGGGCCGGGGATTTAGCTCAGTGGTTCCAGCACCTGCCTCACAAGCACAAGGGCCTGAGTTCAATCGCTGGCACCCCCCCCAAAGAAAACTTCCTCACCCCAAGAATGTTCCTTAATTTAAATACTAGAATTATATACTAAGATTCTAGCTAAGAATGAACATAAATCAAGTATTGTGATACTCATAATTTTTTTTTTTGGTTACCGAGGATTGAATTTAGGTCCTTGCTCTTGCAAGGCAGGCCACCAAACCGCTGAGCTAAATCCCTGGCCCATGATACTCATAATTTTAATCCATAGTAAAAATCTGTATGTGTTAACTAACTGTGACAACATAAATTTGTGTCCCTGCAGTAATTTAGATCTAGAAACTAGAGAAGAATCAAACAGGATCATGTTTCTCACAGCATTTTGAACGCGACAGGGACATATTCTTTAGCAAAAGAAATTTATCTTGTTGATTTTAAATTACATATTTTCAATAGAATGTTTCACTGATAAATTTAATTTTCCTTTGTTCACATTTGTTATAATGATTAGTCTCACAAAAATACAGTTAACATAAATTACTTTTAAAGATATGGAGAGGGAAGAAGGCCAGCAGTAATCAGTCTATTTTCCCTAGTTTTCAGCTATTATAGAGGCAACACCTTCCTGAAAAGACAGAAAGCAGAAACAACAAGGGGGAAAATCCCAAACTTAACTGCTCTCACCATCATTAACATTTGTATGTATTCCTCTGGCTTTTTAAAAAATATTTCAATTATGAAGTCCAATGTACATACAGAAAAGTACATACAATTTCTATATACAGTTTAACAAATAGTTACAAAGTGATTGACAGGGCTGGGAATGTAGCTTCATGGCAGAAAGTTTGCTTGGCAGTCATAAAGCCCTGAGTTCAATAACCAGTACCACAAAAAATAAAAATAAAAAAATAAAGTGATCAATGTGCTGCTACCCAGGACAGGAAAGAAAACATCGCTGAAAGCTCCTACTTAGCCCTTCCTCTGCCCACACTGCTCACCACTACCCTGATATTTATGGCAGCCTGTCACAAATTTAACACTTATCGTCCCATTCCCACCTGTAATTGTACCCCTGAATCATACACTTTAACTGTTTTTGTACTTTGCATAAAAGTCCTTACAAATGTGTTTTCCTTTGTGCCTTGCTTTTTTAAAAACTTTAGTATTATGTTATAAGACTAACCCTGTCACTCCATTAACTATGCCACAATTTATTTAGGGCAATAAGGTTGTTTCCAAGTTTTAGATACTATAAATAAATAATATTTGTATGTAGGTCCTGGTGCAGGTAACCAGGTGTTTTTTTAGGAGTAAAATGGGTTGTCATATGCATGAGTTATAATCATATTTAAATATTTTAATACCATTTTCAGGCTGGGCATGTGATTAAGTGGTAGAGCACTTGATCAGTATGTGCAAAGCCCTGGGTTTAATCCCCAGTACAAAAACAAAACAAAACAATAAACCAAACTTCACTTCTAGGAAATATTTCCATCTTTCCATGATTCCATGATTTGATATTTATAATAGCCATCATTTTTATCATTCCAACATTTTAATGGAAAAATGTTGCTCCATTTGTGGCTAATCAGTTTATTTAACCATTATCATTGCTTCTGTCTTTTTGTAATGAAAATGAGACTGTGGACCCACTTGATGGGTTACAGGTACGTCTTATTGTTTCCAATTTATTCACTGAGACACATTATTCACATATGATGCCTCTACTTTTCCATATGTATGATATACAAGTTTAGCATCCCTAATCCCAAAACTTCAAATCTGAGCTTCAACTGGAAACTCTATACTTGACTTCATGTGATGGGTTCCCTTCAACCTTTGTGTAGAAGGCGTACATATTGAAACATAAGTGATTTTAGGTTTTAGACTTGGATCTCATTCCCATGATATATAATTTTGTTATATGCAAAGATTCCAAAATCTGAGATTCTTCTGATTCAAATTATTTCACATAAGGGATACTCAACCTGAACTTCAATTATAAAAAAGAAAAAAATTCCAGCGAACACTTTTCATCATACTATCTTTATATTTAAGATAATATTATTAGTACAAATTACCCAAAGGAGAGTAGAAGTCATAGTTTGCAGCTTGATTTTTTTTTTTTTTTTTTTTTTTT